GAGAGAGAGAGAGAGAGAGAGAGAGAGAGAGAGAGAAAGAGAGGGGGGGGAGAAAGAGAAAGAAAAACAGAAAGAGAGAGGGCTAGAGGGAAAGAAAAGGGGGAGGCGGGTAAAGAAAAAAGAGCTAGGGAGAGTTAGAAAGTGACAGAGACAGAACGTGTATGTTTGTATGTACAAATGTATATTCGTGTGCGTGTGCGTGTGCGTGTGCGTGTGCAGGTGCGTGTGCGTGTGCGTATGCGTGTTAGCGCGCGCGTCGTGTGTGTGCGTATGCGTGTGTATGCATATGTGCATATTATGTATTTTAACAAGAGAATAATGTATGTATGCATGATGTTTTTTTATGAGCATGTGACGGAGAGAAAAAAAATCTAGAACTCTCACTCTATTATTCCATTTTCACCATGTAGTCATAATCTAAATGTTGTATATGAATATGTATATATTTGGTGATTTATATGATATGAACAATAGCCAAAAAAACCCAATCATTTTGCAATCAAATCTATGCTATCGTTATTTGAATTCTTGGTGTGACATTTGTTTTAAATTAGAAAAAAAATGTCCTATCAATAATTTCGGGAATCACTTTATTCGAATGAATTTTTTTTCTGCAAAATCTTACAACAAAGCTGTCAGAACCTGCGCTTTCTCAGTGGAAGACTGGATTTGTGAGGCATTAATGTGAAATCAGGCGCTTGTCAAAATAATGAACTCGAAGATATCGTCAATTGTTTTGACTTTTGGCACAACGCCTTCATATCTCCATTTTAAACCACATTTCTGTGTTAATTTTACGAAAAGCGTTGATTAAGCGCACAAAAAGTATAAATGTGAAGCACCGTGGTGAAATTAAGCGCTCGTCAAAATAATAGAATCAAAGAAAACGGCACTTTTTCCATCGGTGAGTCGGACTTTTTGAATTAAAAATTTTTTTTTGGGGCTCAACACCTTCTACGACTATATAAAACACATTTTAGTGTAAGTTTTACCGAAAAGTGTAGGTTAAAGGCACAAAAGCTGTAAATTTTAATTCCCAAAGGGCTCTCAATCTGTTGAAGTTACTAAACTTTGGTTGCCATTTTCACCAGAGTTTTACATCTGGAACCATGGAACCCCTACCTGCTTCGATTGCAACTATCTTGACTTTCGTTCAAGATAGATGGGTTTTGTTTTCATTGAAATTAAGAAAAAAAATGAGCAAGCTTTAAGATGATACCAATAACACCATATGACCAAAACTTGACGAGTGCCTGCTTCCACCACTTTATTACACAAATGTTCAGCTTAAAAGGGAACTTTGGCGACCATTTTCTTTGTTAATTTTACAGCTGAAACCAGGCGACTCCCTCCCCCTTCCATAGTGAATACTTAACTTTTATTTCAAGTTAAAAGGGCGTTTATTTTTATCAGAATATAGACAAATGAAGAAACAAAAGTCCACATGCCCCCAAAAAAACTGACGAACGACTGATTCGATCGCGTCTTGACTCCTTTAGTAAAAGTAAAAGCCGCCCAACTAGATCTCACTTATTGCACTATGACATCTGTTGAGCCATATTATTGTGACGTCAGTGGATATTTTACGGCGCTCGCAACTGCATACGGTCATATGATCGAGCGGGACATAATAATATCGAACATTTTCAGTTGGTACGAAATTTTTCCCGATGGGCGGTCGAAGTCTTCTCTTATCGATTTTGGCCCACCAAGGGATCTTGCACACAGGTCCTCCGAGATTTGTCGCCCTTATCCGAGAAGAGACGTTAAACCTTACCTAAGATCAAGGTTGTGGCTGAAAGACAGCAGTAAGATGGAGCCAAGGAGCAACAGTAGAAGGGTTTCAGAAAGAGTCAGGAGCCCAGAAGAGAAAGCAAAGAAGGTGAGGGGTGGGGTCAGAAAATGGAGACGAAAGTAGACGACAGATCATTGTTAGAGAGTAGGAAAGTAGGTGAAAGGAGAAAATTTAGAGAAGAACATTTTCCGTCGTTCTCCGAATTTGAACCCGGGACCTATTGAATGAAAGGCGAACGCCTTAATCTGTAGACCCCGAAAGTCCCAATCAGTGGTCTAGTGGTAAGGGTCTTGGACTTGCAACAGAAAGGGTTGTAGATTCGAACCCCGCCATAAGCCCGTCATTGCGCTTTGGAAAAGGCACTTTACGTCCATTTTCATCACGTAATGCAGGTGGAAGTAAAATGCAACAATATAATGACTGGCTGGGCCCCCTTTCGTTGAAAAGAATGATCGGAGCATTGATATCAACTGAAAACCATTGGCCTACTATATTTACACTCTGCTGGAAAGGAGCAATAAATCCTCAGAGAAAGAAACAATAAGAAGGTTGAGAATAGTGATGTATAGATTGATACTCTGTTCTGCTTTCGTGGTTGTACACTCCAGAATTTCAAAGATGAGAAAACAGTGCGCACGGCTATGGAACGGAAACCTCACTTGTTTACAATGGCGTCTTAGAAGAAGGGACTTTCCCAAGATTAGATCTAAACGAAACTAATGAAAAACTGAAAATCAAACTACAGTGACTTCAGTCTCCTCAATAGAACTGTGCACCCTTTAAGTTTTGAACCACCATTAATTTGGTCAAATTCGAAAGTTAAATGGTTCCGAAGACTTAGGCAGCCAAAGTGACGAACTTTCACAAATATAATATTATTTATGCATCGATAATATGTAATATGCATATATAATATGCATCAAGATGCAACAGAATCAGGCGCTCGTCAGATTTTGAGCTAATGGAGTTGTTGGTATCACCTTGTAGAAGCCTGTTCATTTGTATTGTTTTAAATGTAGAAAAGGTTCTCCTAACGTACACCGAAATCGAGTTATTTGTGGTTGCAGCTAT